TATGCTTCCAGGTAAAATTGGCCGTTAACTGTTAACAGATACAGGGGGTCAAAATAAAGAAAAGAAAAGAAAAGAAGAAAATAAAATAAAAAAAACAGAAAAAAAAAACAAAAAAACAAAATACTTACAAGAGAAAGAAAAGTTTTGGGAAGAGTCATGTTCATGAAAAATTTTTAATAAAATTATCTTATACTCGTATTGTAGGCGTGATAAGTGGTCGTTAACTGCTATCAAAGATACAGGGCAACAGAGTAAAAAATAGGAAAAAAGGGAAAAAAACAAAAAAGAAAAAGAAGAGTCATGTTTATGAAGAAATATGACGAAATTCGGGTGTGATAAGCTAAATTAGTCTTTAACTGCTATCACATATATAGAGCGACAGATGTAAGAAAAGAAAAGAAGAAAAAAAAAAGAAAAAAAAACAAAATAAAGAGGAAGAAAAGTGTTTGGACGTGATAAGCAAAATTGGTTGTTAACTACTATCACAGGGTGACAAATAAAGAAAAGAAGAAAAAAAGAATAAAAGGAAAAAAAGTGTTTGGGAAGAGTCATGTTTATGAATTGAATGAAACTTTTTGATAAAATTATCTTATATTTTACCATAAAAGTCTTCAAAGTAAAACGACAAAAAATTAATTACCATTAATTTAATTACTGTGTGCATTTCTAATGTTTGTGATTACCTGTCTTTACACTGTGAAAGTACGTGTTTGATAGACTTAAGCAGGATATCCGGCTCTTAATTTAAGAAAAAAAAAGACAATTAAACTACTATGCGGCTTTTATTACTCAATTAAATTGAACTAAAAAAAATACAGAGACAATATTTTATTTTCAGGTAAAACATTTTGTGCTACAATATTAATTTATCTATAAAACAGGTGGTTTGTTATCAATAATGCATTTCTGTTATCAAATTGGCATATGTAATCGGTTTACGTAAGAGATATAATTTTATAATTTTCGGAAATAAAGATACGAAGAAGAAAAATTTTGTTGTGTTGTGTTGAAGCTGAAAGAGTCTCATAAATGAGTAAGAAATATTTCTAAAAAATCACCGATTATCATGAATGCCTTGAATTTCGCTTAATTCCTAGTTTTGCTTTCATTTTTTCGTTTTCAATGATTGCTCATCCATTCCGCACAATTTTAATTATCAAAATCTCGTTCTTTCCGCACATTTGCTTACCAAACCGCATCAGAATTTGAAATATCCGCAGCCGAAATCTGGTTGACCAACGGACCGACCGGTCTAGTGATGCGATGATCTGCATTACTAAACGTTTAGCAATTCCATTTAAAAGCATCGACCATTAAATTTTTTCCAGATTCATCTCTCCATTCTTAGAAATTCGGGGATGCTCACGATTGCCACAAACTGATTTCAGGAATTGATTTTAACGACATAATTACGTCTTGGAGCTTTCACGTTTTTTGCAACGATTGCATCAAAACTGGCAAATGGTGAGTTTTGCATGCTACACGTTATTACACGGTCAATTGCCCTTTGTATTTGCGTTTAGAATGTCAATGCACATCGGAGATGAATGCACTTGTGCCAACAAAAGGCAAACGACACGCCAGAACCAATATGTACAGGGTGAGGCATTACTCATCATTTCTTACTATACTCATTTATAGCTAACACACTCGTAATTAACGAAAAATATTTTTTGTCATTAAAAATCGAATGTAACTTATTTATCAATTTTTTGCTTTTGTGTGTCTGTGGCTACATCATCTATTTAGAAGATTTAATATTAATAAATGCTAACAAAAACTTAAAGACAGTTTGAGAAAAGTTCTAACACAACAACAAGTTGTTTGTGGTTGTACTAGCGAAGCGAGTCATAAAACTAGTGTGATATACGGCTTGTTTGAAAATGTTCGTGTTACAAATTCGCTTTACAAATGCTGTTGTAAAGAAGACACAAAATTTTAAATTTGATAACAACAGAAAGCACGAAAATAACAATTACAAAACAGAAAAAAACTTTGGAAAACTTTCTGAAAAAAATGTGATAGTTTGGTTGTTTATTAGAATATTTCATAGAGATTGCATAGTAAAACGTAAAATATACTTCTAATTTGTAGTATTTGTAATATGAATTTTTTACAAGTTAAGTTAAATCGTAATTTATTGACAAAATTTGAATCAGGTTGTGTTTGAAGTAAAAAACATTTTAAAAACTGCAGAATCACGAGTTTTTAAATAAATATTCCTGAAAAGTCAAGAAGATAATTAACATTATAATTATTACCAAAGTAGTTTCCAGTACCGTCCCTTGAGACACTGACTTAAGAATCACAATTATCTATCCTGAACACCCAAGTAGCAAAACGAGTTTTCTGTTTAGCTTTTTTTTCTTTTTATTGAAGAAAAGGAAACTTTTAGGCATTTTTATGAACCTTTGTAGTAGCACCCGTAAGACATGTACTGGATTCGGACTACTTTAAATAAAATAAAATAAAATTTGCACAATGCCACAATTTTTTTTGTTTTAAAATGACGATTTTCGTACTTTTTTCAACAAAACTTTTCGATTTTAATCAAGTTCTATGTGCAAAACGCGCCAAATTATTCTAAATTGGATAAAATAGTGTCATTATGACATAAAACGACGATTTTTGAACTTATTTCTACAAAATTCCTAGATTTTACCACGTTTTGGTTTTCGAAATTAATTTAGATCTAGATACTTTTATCGTCTTTTTTGACAAAATCTTTTGATTTAAATCAAGTTTTATCTCCAAAACGTGTTAAATCATCTGAAATTTGATTTGACATAAAACAAGGATTTTTGTATTTGTTTTCACAAAACTTCTTGATTTGACTAATTTTTAGTTCAGAAGTTGACTCAAATCGAGAGACTTTTTTGTCCTTTTTTGCCAAAAGCTTCTGATTTGAATCAAGTTCTATCTGCATATTGAAATTCAATAAAATTGGGTCATTATGACATAAACGACATTTTTTTTTACTTATTTCTTCAAAATCTCTTGATTTTACCACTTTTTTTTTGTCTTTGATTGTCCATTTTTTTTATTTAAATCAAGTTCTATCTGAAAATCATGCTAAATTATCCGAAATTGTTCAAAATAGCGTCACTATGAGATAAAACGACTTGTTTCTACAAAATCTTTCGATTTTTACCACGTTTTGGATTCGAAAGACTTTCTTTCGTCCTTTTTTAAAAAAACGATTTTCGTGCTTTTCTCAACCAAATCTTTCGATTTTAATCAAGTTCTATGTGCAAAACGCGCTAAATTATTCTAAGTTGCATAAAATAGTGTCAATATGACTTAGAACGACGCTTTTTGAACTTATTTCTACAAAACTTTTAGACCTTACCACGTTTTGGTTTTAGAAATTAATTAATGTCGAGAGACTTTTATCGTTTTTTTTACGAAAATTTTTCGATTTAGATCAAGTTCTATCTGCAAAACGTGCAAAATCATCTGAAATTTGATAAAGAACATACGTAATTTTTTTTGAGTTTAGAAATTGACTCAAATCTAGAGACTTTTTTGTCTTTTTTTGCCAAAAGCTTCTGATTTGGATAAAGTTCTATCTGCATAGTGTGCTAAATCATCGAAAATTCGGTAAAATAGGGTCATTATAACATAAAACGACAATTTTTGTACTTACTTTCTCAAAATCTCTTGATTTTATCACATTTTGGATTGATTAATCGATTTAGGCCGAGAGATTTTTTTTGTCTTTTATTGTCAATTTTTTTTTTGATTTGAATCAAGTTTTATCTGAAAATCTGAAAATTGACTCAAATTGAGAGTTTTTTTTGTCTTTTTTTACCAAAAGCTTTTGATTTGGATAAAGTTCTATCTGCATATTGTGCTAAATTATTGGAAATTCGGTAAAATAGGGACAATTTTTGTACTTATTTCCTCAAAATCTCTTGATTTTATCACGTTTTGGATTTATCAATCGATTTAGGTCGAGAGATTTTTTTTGTCTTTTGTTGTCAAATTTTTTTGATTTAAACCAAGTTTTGTCTGAAAATCGTGCTAAATCATTCGAAATTGGCTAAAATAGGGTCACTATGAGATAAAACGGCGATTTTTGTACTTGTTTCTACAAAATCTCTCAATTTAGCCACGTTTTGGATTCGGAAATCGATTTTTCGTTTTTTTTTTGCTAAGATCCATCTTTTGATTTGAATTTAGTTCTATCTGAAAATTGTGATAAATCATTCGAAATTCAATAAAACAGTTTCATTATTACGTAGAACGTCAATTTTTGTAGTTGTTTCCACAATTTTTTTTATATTGCGACGACACATTTGACTGAATTTTTTGTTGATGTGATTTAAAAATTAAGCCTGAAAATCCCTGAAATTAATAAAAATAATTAAATTATTAATACATTGTAATCAATAGCGTTTCTAGTTTACTGTACTCGTATTTATTGATCAATCTTAAAAAATAACAAACAGATTTCCAAAAATGTCAATTTTTAAACAACAGCTTTCTTCCTCGTGGTTTGTTTCTAAAATTTTGACATCAATACAAAGAATACTTAAGCGACTTTGGCACCTGTTTCAAAACCATCAGTTTTGCATCTTGCTGGCTTGTCACTCAACTTGTTTAATTTGTGAATTTTTATCCGTAAAATTGCGACGTTATGTCTATGTTTGAGTGACATTCAAGTCTATGAGGCGTAAAAAATTGTGCATCATGTCAGCTGACTCACCCTGTGGGGTGGTATAGGACGTTCCAGTTCCTGCCGACCCGTTCGAAACAAAGGTTTTGCGTTAAGCTTTATCTCGGCGATAGTGTTCAGCGACTAGCACTCCCTTATCGAGCTTTTTTCCGGCTCGAAGCTGACCTCTGGCAATTAGCGCAGTTATTATGCAATTAGAGATTCTCGCTTGAATTGAAATTTGTCCTGTCGCGAAGAAGAGTTCAAGGCTGATCTTGAACACATTCTTCTCTGGTGACGGGGACGATAGCTTTTGCCCACCACTCAAATTCGGGATTACTCAGACATGTATCTCGCTCTGCGAGTTGGTAACTCGCCGAAGAGTCGATGCTAGAGCAAGAGCTAGTTGGTTGTGTGGTTCGCACCTGAAAGGTGCGCTCAGTTCCAAGCTGTTCGTTGCCCGGATTACACTGTGGAGTGCTTTCGTGCTTTGATTTTTTCGAATAAAAATGACGAGTGATTTGAATTATGTGTGAAGTGAACGGTGCACATTTAATGGATATTTTCAAAAATACTGCAATCGGAGATTATAAACCGTAAGTTTGGGGGTCACAAAAACAATCGAATTAAATTGCTAAACACTTTTTTTCCAAGTGTAACAATTTTAAAAGCTCGAGAGCGTTGACCGTAACACGAAAAAATACACCTATCTTATATAGGTCTATTTTATTACATCCGGGTGATATAAAATTTAACATATGTATGTTACTAGTCTCATATTTTTAACAGTTTTTTACAATACACTTTTGTTGATTCACAAATGGAAAGACTTGACACAAAATTATGTTAATAAGTAACGGTTGTTCTTTTTTTACTTTATTGACTCTCTTATGAGCTGATTTAGCAAAGGCTAGTTATAGGCCTCAAAATGATCAGATTTCAGATAAGTTATAAACAATAGTATCACGGGGCTTTAAAAGTCAAAATTTGTGTAATTATCAAAAATCACTCTATAATCAAATAATTTCGTTGGGAGAGTTGAAAGGAAGTGTACCACCTATTGTTATATGCTTGACCTTTTTTATTGTCAAGTCCAAGAGCTGAAAGTTAAAAATTGTGTAACTGTTTCTGGTCTGCATATCGTTGGGAAAACTATAAGTTGTTCTGAGATTTTTATCTAAAACGAAATTTGAAGTAGAGTAGAACTGAGAAAAATTAGTTTTGAAATAAGGAAAAAGATATAAAACTGCAATTACCTAAAAACAGACCAAACCTGTTTCACCGATTTGGCATCTTCAGGGTTATTATTGTCATACTGAACGCTGAAGCGCTATATTGAGTAGAAATATTCGCGTTGTAAATAAGAAACAAGGAAATGCGCAACGAAATTAGACATTTTTGAATGCTTATTAAAAACTGAACAAAACATAGGTATTGAATAATTTTTGAAAATATTTAAATTGAATTTCAAAAATTTTCTACAATTGGCATTGGCCACAGTAATGACAAATATTCCGGTAAATTACTTGGATGTTAAAAAAATATTTACATAGCCTAAGAACTCGAGCATAATACTAGTTTTGATATTACAACAATGTTTGGTGGCTTTTAAATTAGTGTGGTTTTGAGTTGACGAGTTTATCACTCAAAACATTTTTACAAATTATCAGCATTTTCAACGAAATATTTGAAATAGGTTTAAAAAGTATTGATTTTCTAATTGTTTACTGGTTTCATAAATTATATAAAATAACTTTCTTAAGAATGAAGAGTTTTTACTTTTGATCAACGTTCTTTACTGAAAATAAAGCAATTTGAGCTATTTTCAATTTAATTTTGCTCGATTTTAACCCAGAAATCATTCTAGATCAATGTATTTTATAAAAATAATTGCTTAAATGGCAGCTTTCTGTCAAAATAAAGCAATTTGAGCTTTTTACAATCCAATTTTGCTCGATTTTAACTCAGAAGTCATTTTAAATCAATGTATTTAATTAAAATAATTGCTTAAGTAACAATTTTTGGCCAAAATGAAACAAATTGTGCTATTTCCAAACGATTTTTTAAGGAATTATTGCTTGATCAGTTTTTGTAAAAGATCGATATTTGGATAAGGGGAAAATTTTGTTTGTTTTCTTTTTCTCATAAATGTTTATTAAAATTGTATTGCTACATGTTTCGGTCAATTTTTGTAATGGCCATCTTCAGGCAATAAGTTTAAATTCACCAAGTTTATTTTTGTCTACTTGACACCATTTTTTGAAGGAAATTTAATTAAATTGAATGGGAATCGTAATTTTTAATTTTAGATGACGCTTATGATTCTTCATTTTTAAATTCGATTGGCCTCGAAAAATATATTTTTACAATTTTTATTTAAATTAGAGATTTTTTTGAGTAACTATTTGTCGCATGACCAAGATTTTTTTATACCTGCGACAGAAAGTTAAAAGTGTTTTTCAACGGTACGACTACCGAAAAAAAAACAAGATTTTGTGAAAAATTGAAAACTTTAAAATTGATCAAAATGCACTTTTAGGGGTCTAAGAATCTCAGGACAAGTGTATAAACGTGTGGGAACGCAAAAATAAATTTTTGAAAAATTTTGTATTTGAATGAGTAGATTGTATTAGTATTTTTTTATTATAAAATTTAATTTTTGATTTAATATGACTGAATAATGTTTCACGGAAAGGTGTACGAAAAGCTTTTTAGTAAAAAACAGATTATAATTCGGTTAATAGAGATTTTTGTCGTTTCTAGGAGGAAACAAATAGGCCAATAAATTGGCACAATCTATTGATTAATTTTGTTCCATCGGTAGGTGGAAAACTTTTTGATTGAATTTCATCACGTCACTCGTTTTTCATTATCCCCAACGTGAAACAAAAACTTATTTGTTATCATTTTCCATCAAACTCCTCAACAAAAACAATAAATCAGCTCGAAAGCTTTGGCAAAGCTTTTCGTTATTATATTAGTAACGTCTGTTATAAAATATCTCAAACCTTTTGTATAACTACCCATTATGGCGTGAGTTTTTTTCGCCACTCTAAAAATTTACCTCCGTATTAACGTGAGTGATTTGGCAATTTTTTCGACCTGGTGCAAAGGAACTCTTGCTTCGAAAAGTGACCATGAAATTATTCATAATGTGGTTTATCGACACGATGTCATATCTCTTTTGGAGGCATAAAACGAAAGAAATGACCGCTAATAATAAATCTAGTGGGTGCAGGGAGGGTATGTACAACACATAAAAGGGGTAATAACGCGACAATGGCACCACAATGAACGGCTTATTACAACAGCTGCCTTATACAGGGTGCGCCAGAACTCGGGCCATGTAAGCTAAAAAGCCAGGAACATGAAAAAAATGTTAAAAAAAATTCCATCTAAAAAAGATCATCAGTATCATTAAATAGACAAAAAAATTGTCAAATGAAAAAAATAAATGTCAAATTTTTTTCACAGAATTTTTTAAACATTTTTCCATATTCCTGGTGTCTTATCTTACTTGAAATTTTTCTCTAGGGCACCCTATTTCTGACGCCCTAATTTTTTAGGGCCTATATTAGAAACTTTTTAACTTCTAATGCAGATAGGAATTTTAAATTTTGTACACAACTTAAATCAACCAGTCTAAGTTCAATTAAATTATTTTCAAAATTGCTGAACTTCCGGAACTACGAGAAATTGGCGCCAACTTTGAAATTTTAAATGTACCCACTTATTTTTATTGCATTTTTGAATTCTCCTTTTTAAACTAAGTAAAATGTACTTAGTTGTTATTACTTATCTGTCGTAGTTTTGGACATATGTCAATTTGTTGGTCAAAAATTTCACTTGCAGGGGTTCATTCAAAACATCACAGCTCTTGAACCCTTTGCGATAAGTGAATATATTTTTTGCATTCGATAACCAAAGGTTCGAAAAGTTTTCTAGAATTTTCAAAATTGTCAACTGTCAAATTGCAAGACTAGTATGATTTTTTGAAAATGATCATAAACAAACAGCTATAACTATAACAGCTATAAAATGACTATTTTCTCAACGGCAATCAAGAGTACAATAATTTGTAGAAGGACTTTTATCAACATGTTTTATACCTATCTCTTACATTGTTTGAAATAATCTTGTTTTTATTTTTATAGTTAATCACGTAGGCTTTGGAAAAATACAATAAAGATATACCATAATTAAATACAGATGTTCGATATGTTTACCATTTTCAAACAGTCCAAAACTCGATGGTGAACTGATTTGAGTGGCTTCCATTATTTCATTTGGTTGAAGATTAAAACAGGTTTTTCGTGATTATTTCAAAAACTGTAAGAGATAGGTATAGGACATGTTGATAAAAGTCCTTCTAGAAATTGATGTACTTTCTGAGAAAATAGGGTCATTTTATTTGCAAAAACTGAGTTATAGCTGTTTGTTAAATATCATTTTCAAAAAATCATATAAGCTTTGCAATTTGACAGTTGACAATTTTGAAAATTTTAGGAAACTCTTCGAACCTTTGGTTATCACAGGCAAGAAAAATTATTTACTTATTGCAAACGGTTCAAGAGCTGTGATGTTTTTAATAAACCTCTGCAAATGAAAATTTTGAGCAAAAAATTGACATATGTCAAAAACTATCACAGATAAGTACTAACAACTAGGTACATTTTACTCAGTTTGGAGAGGAGAATTCAAAAATGCAATAAAAATAAGTGGTTTAAATTTAAAATTTTTAAGTTGGCGCCAATTTCTCGTAGTTCCGGAAGTTCAGCCATTTTGAAAATAATTTAATTGAACTTAGACTGGTCGATTTGAGTTGTGTACAAAATTTCAAAGTTCTATCTGTATTAGAAGTTAAAAAGTTTTTTTTTTTGGAAAAATAAATTTTCCATTTTTTTTCGCTACAGGCGATGAGAAGAGGAAACAAGAAAGCTGTATTCTGAATTGAATCTCTGTTTAATGCTATTTGTGGCTTTTAATGACAAAATTTTTGTAGCTTTACTAAATAATTATTAAAAAACATATACAAGATCATCAGTATCATTAAATAAACATAAAAAAATGTCAAATTTTTTGACAGATAGAATTTTTAAACATTTTTTCCATGTTCCTGGTAACCTATCTTACTTGAAATTTTTCTCTGGGGCGCGAGTTCTGGCGCACCCTGTATAGGCCCTAAAAGAATCACCTTGTATTGTGTTGTACGAAACGGGAAAAACATCCAAACTTTGTTGCATAATTTGAGGGTGGTAATGAGGTTTGCCCGAATTTTGTGGCTGTAATTGTGATCTGGGGTTCTTGTAAAGTACAAAAACTTAAATTTTGATTAAATGAAACGAATCGTCTTGCCATTATTCGAGCAAACAGACCGTCAGACAATTTATTAGGTTAATAATGCATTCAGCGTAAGATTTGAAGATAGCGTCGTGTCAACATGCAATGCGGCACACGATGGGCGGATGCGGATACCCATGATGTGATAACAATCATAGAGCAATCATCGTTTGCATACATTTATTACGCAAACCTATGATAAGAGATCTGTCTCGTTCGTCCCGAGACAAAATGACAGAAAATAGTACAAGGTATC